TGCGGGGTCCTCTCCCCTCCCGGCCCTCCCTGCATCCCGCGGTCCCTCCCGCCTTCCCGCACCCGCTGAGAGGGAGAGCCCTGCCAGTCCCCCTTCTCCTCCATCCCTGCTCACTTTGCGCCACCCTCAGCCCCAGCAACCCTGCCACCAGCCCTGAAGCTCCCCACTCGGCACGCCCCCAAAATTGCAGCCCTAGCGCCCGTCCACCTCCTCCCGCAGGTACGTGCGGAGCCAGCGGCACACCATCCAGGTGGATTACATCCCCTACATGGACGAGCTCGCCTGCCAGCTGGGTGTCAAGCCCGACCTGCTCACCCTCTTCCTCACCGCCCGGCTGGCGACGGAGGTGCTGCTGGGCCCCTGCACCCCGTACCAGTACCGCCTGCAGGGGCCGGGGAGGTGGGCCGGCGCCCGGCAGGCCATCCTGACCCAGCGGGAGCGCGTCGTCAAGCCCCTGAGGACGAGGCAGGTGGATGAAGGCACCTTGTCCTCCTCAGTGCCACTCTTGGCCAAGCTGGTCGGGGCTGTGGCTGTCTTTGCCCTCCTTTTCACTTACCTGGTTGCTGTGTTGCCAGAGGTAAAGAGAGGCTTTGAAGCATGAAGGGGGGGAGCCCAGCCAGTGCACCCACATGTCAGAGACCTCCTCCTGCCTGGCACTGCCGCATGGCCTTGAGGCAGCAGCACAGGGCGAGGAGCCCCCAAATCTCCCCTGCTGCTGGGAAGAGCCAGGGCTCTGCAAAGACCCAGGGTGAAGGGCAGCCCCAAACATGTCTCCTGTGGGTGCACCTGCTCTCGGGTTCTGCATCTGCAGATATGCAAGAAAATCTGCTTACGCTCAGAGTGAAATCAGTCCCTCCTAGCCAATGCTTTAGCCTAAAGGGGAATTGCCAGGCTTTTCTATCACCTAACGTAATCACAACACCATAAACAAGACTAACACAGTAATGAAAGGGCAAAGGCACTGGAAACTTTCTAACCGGATTAAAGAGCGTTAAAACGAGCCAGACCGCTGTGCATGAAATAGGTGAGGTAGGAGCCAGTATGGTGGTACTCGGGCTGCCAACGTGCTGCGGTGCAGCGCGGTGCCGTGCAATGGCTCCAGCATGCATCCCATCGTGGAAGCCACCAGGGCCTCTGCGCACGAGGGCAGCCTCGCTGCAGCTGCCTGGCTGTGCACAGTGCCAGCTGCATGCGTGTGCGCACACATGTGGGCTTGCACACACACGCACACGTGCAGCCACAGCAAAACAGCCTTGTCTGCAGCAGGGACAGCCAGTGTTGCTGCCGTGGAGCCAGCTTGTGGCCAGGCTC